CATTCATGAAAAATTCAAATACAATTATTGCAAAGATAAGGGTCTCTGGAAATGTTACCTCGCTATGCGATAAATAAATACATACATACGTACATAAATGAATTTCACATTTCGGTTAGAAATAAAATTATTACAACAATGCGGAGATCTAATAAAAATGTAAAAACACACTGCAACATAAATATCAAGTGTACCGTAGGTAGATTTCTTTTCCAGTTTCCTCAAAATAGCATTTGTTTAAGGTATCCTTACAACTGACTTCGGTAGAATTGTTAAGAACGCGTGTCACTGCACTTCAAACTAAAAAGAGACCACCGGATATGGCCTTTGCCATCAGTTGTGAATGAACAAACGCGCTAGAAATCTGGCACCGGTTGAGAAACGACGCGTAACGTTCGTAGCGCAGCCGATGCGGGAGGCGCGGAGGTCACAAAAGGCCTTGACGCAAAACGCCTCTAAGACACTGTTTCCATTACTCCATCGCACTTCAAAATTTGGATATGCGGGTTTTGCATGGTGTTCTACCAGCTGGCGAAATTGCATGAGAATCCGAGTATCTAGCACGGTGAGTGCTGGGTGTATACCTGTAATGATTGTAATAATACTTTTTAAAATTCTAACGGAGCTTTGATCGTGACGCATTCTACTGGGAAGTATCCATTAATATGAATACTTAGGCACGTGGGTTCTTGAGACATGAGATCGCCCGCTAGCAGCCCCCAGTTTTAAGACTAAGCCCTTAAGTTTTTTTTATTAACTTCTGCTTTATTCACAATTAGTTATACATAACTTTCGGTGAATGTTAGAACATATGTACATACACAAAACACAGTTTATTATTGGGACAGTGAATGTTTGCCCAGTGGCAACTCAACTGAATCTGTACACCGAGTTCTAAAGGAGTATGTCTTGCCAGTCGTCTTGTGTCCTCGCTGTTCGTCCAGTAGGTTTAGCGGCACGGTAGTTTGCGGTGGTTTCCAAGCCTCTGCTGGTATCTGAAGCTGGAACTGTGTGATTATTTCTTTAACAGTTTTTTACTTGCAAGTCATTATGAAGAATTACATTGGAAATATTACCACAGGAGCATTAGCACCAGCGCGCAATAGCTTTTGACTGAAACCTTTGTAATATTTCTAGATTTGAGTTGCTTGCAGTACGCCCATAGTTGAATGCCGTAGGTCCAAAATTGGCATTAACTGTACTTTGTACAACAATATTTTGTTTTTGAGTGACAAAGCGATTTGCGTCCTAGTAGCCAGTAATCTTTTGAATTTGAGGTCTAGTCTTTTCTTTTAGTGGTTATGTGTTTTTTCCACGTTAAACGTCTATCTAGCATGCATACCTAGATATTTTACCGTGTCTGCCTGTGGTATTAGTTTATCATTCATTTTGATTGAGGGGCATGTATTCTTTCTATTGGTGAGGTCACGTGGTAGACTTTGCTTCTTCACTCGGATTCTCCATCTTTTAAATTCATTAGATAATTTTGTTAAGTGTTCCTGGAGCACTTCAGACGCCTTTTTCATGATCTTCATGATTCGTTATTACCGCTGTGTCGTCCGCGTTATGTTGCTGTTGTGACTTTTTTGATGATGAAAGATTGCTGTGTAAAGAAGATAGAGGACAGGTCCCAGAACGCTCCTTGTGGCACACCAGACTGTGCGGGGTGTAATTTGGAGTAAGCTTCTTGTTGTTTTACTTGGAAAAAACCTTTCAAGGAGATATGATTTAAAATAATGTAGAATTCTGATGGTAAAGATCTTTTAATTTTATATAAGAGGCCAGTGTGCCACACTTTATCGAACGCTTGAGCGACATCTATGAACGCGGCTGAACAGTATTTGCCTTTCTTCCAGACCTTTATTAATTTCGTTTACTACTTCTATGCACTTGTTCGATTGTAGAGTGAAATTCCTGATCCAAACTGGTAGTTGGTCTAAGATTATTTTCATTTATGTGGACGTTTTAGACGTTGTAAAAGCAGCTTCTCTAGTGCCTTCGAGATTGTGTAGTTAAACTGATAGGTCTGTACGATGAGACGTATGAGTTGGTTTACCGGGTTTTTGGTATAAGAATTATCTGAACTACCTTCCATTTGAGAAGGAAATGTCCAATTCTTATACTGCTTTGAATATTGAAGTTATTAGTATTTTTGCCTTCTTGGGTAATTTCTTCAACACTTTGCCGGTTTATTAAGTCATGTCCTGGGCTTTGTGGGGGCGGTAAGTTTTGTATAGCTTTTTCTATTTCATAAGTTGTGAATGCTTGAATGGGCAGCGACATTTGCAAGGGAGTTTTCAAGATATGCTCGTATCTCACGTTCCGGCTTGGTTCAGTTGATGGATAAGGCTGGAATACGTTGCAAGGTGTTGTGCAATGCTGCTGCTTCTCCGCGTTATTTCTTGCCCAGGAACCATCTTCTTTGCGTATAGGGGGAATTGGTTGAGTTGGTCTTTTAAATCTTCTAGTTTGCCTTCCACAATGAATAATCTTATTCTTTTAAAAGGGGGATAGATTCCTAAGATATTTATTCATTTCGTTATTCTTCAAAGTTTGGAAGTGCAATTTTTAAATCTGTAGTTGCTCTGTTCAGTTTTCTTTTTATCTAGTGGAATGTCTGTTTTCTTGGTAGGTTCTTTAGTTTCCTTTTGAGCAAACTTTTTCCTTGATGTGCTTTGGAAAGTATACTTTGTTATTTTTATTGTTGAAATTGTAGGGAATGC